TATTCTATGAAATTAGCTCCGGAACAAATCCAAGGGGTGTTTTCCCTGTCGCAGTGTGTGTCCTGAGAGCCTCTGCAGCATGCAGATAACCTGCCAGTGTGATGTGCTGATAGACTTGTGTGTTCTCCAGCAGCTGGTCTCTTGGTGCAGTTTAACACCAGGCTTTGTTTCTCCAGACTCCAAAAGCCGATCTGTGCTCGAAGCTCGGGATGGACTTGAAGCGAACGATGCTGCTGCGACTTGCGCGGCGGGACCCTAAACTGCATCCCGATGATCCAGCCAGGAGAGAGGCCATCTATAACAAGTACCAGGTGGGGGCCTGACCTGCAGCTCCTGCCCTGGTCTCTGCAGGGATGTTTAGATGGATAATGCCCAAATCACCTTATCACAATGCAAACCATCCTTAATGCTCCTGCCTTTAGGGTTAAGGGTATGGGCAGAGGAGATCTGAATGTTGTTTGTCAGGTTTTTCTTGTTTCTTTGTGAGCTGCTAATATCTGTATGATCATTTAGGAAGACAAAAACCTGTATTTTGCTGCGATCAGGTCTCTGAGGGTCCTCAGTAAGCACTGGTAGGAGCTGGCAGTGAGAATTTGTTTCAGGGAGGAGCACAAACTGCCTGTGTGCAGTTTAGTTTTGAGCAGCTGGTGACAGTTGCCAGCACAGAGACACCACCAGCATCCACGATCTCTGGAGCTGTGCTGAGGAACAGCCCCAGAACTACACAAAGGAGAGGCACAGCAGTGGACACGGCACTGATCAGAGGACACAGCACCCTCACAAAGGGAAAAGGAGAGAGGGGAAGTGGATTTTAGTTGCCAGAAATGAGGGAACAGTGTTTTGAGATTTGTCTGTAGCAAAGTTCCTACTGGATTGCATCTTTGTGTGAGCTGGGTTTGTATCGTAGTCACCTGGAAAGACTGTGCTACCTGCTTCTTCTTTTACCACAGGAATTTGCGATCCCAGAAGAGGAAGCTGAATGGGTTGGCTTGAGTTTAGAAGAAGCAATAGAAAAACAAAGGCTCCTGGAAAAAAAGGTGAGTTCCTGAGGCAGTGCTTAGCACCAAGGTGTCCTAACTGCATCAGGCTGCACGCCAGCTGATGTCAGCACCCCTGAGTGGTGGAAGTGGTGCTCTGAGAGTCCTGAGCAGCCCTGTGAGCCCAGTTATATTTGGGTGCCCAAAACATGAGACTGAGTTAAAGTGCATCATAAACCAGATCCCCTGGTGAGGGGAGAGATATCTAGAGGGATGGCTCGTATCTCCTGCCCAGTTGCATGAACATCTTTGCCTTTGGTTGCCATCTGCTGTGCTTCTTGTGCTTTGGGACTCGTGGATACAAACTAAGGGCTCGCTCGGTGTGCCCCTCTGTTACTGCAGCTCATGTGTTAGAAGAAGCAGAAGAGGGTGCACCAGAGAGCTGCTGGGGCAGAAGGGCTTCCTGGGTGGTGGGTTCTCTTGATGAGGTTTTCCCCAGGCTCCTTGGCTCCT